GTAGCACGAAATATAACTAGTATACTTGGCCATTCGTATTCAGACTAATGTATTTTCGGATGAAAATTAGCATTTTCGTCCATTCGTCCGAATTACAAATGGGGCGCCGAACAAAATTTTTCCATTTGCCATTTGTTTGTTTGTTCATTCACAATTCACTTTTGGACTTTTGTACTACACTGTCTGTAATTCAACAGGACGAACGATTAATCCGAATGCACGAATGGCTAATTATTTTGGAGAGCCATTTGTTTTTGCACACTTCTATCATATCTGATTAATGAAAATGAAATGAATGAGCTGTTCGTGCATTCCCATGAATGCACGAGTGTCTTATTCTTTCAGTGCTCATTCATTAGTTCGGCTCACTGCCATCAGATATGATGAATACATGGGTTAATTAATTAATAATGGAGGAAACATTTGTTCTCCCCAGCCCTTACCTAGTGATGGCAGGTAGGGACCCTAATCAATAATGGAGGGGAACCTATTGTTCCCCCCCAGCCCCTACCCATTGCTGGCCGGTGGGGGTCCTAAGTAATAATGAGGGGTAACGTATTGTATCCTCACAGCCCCTACCAATTGATGGCTGGGTGTGGGCCATAAGTAATAATAGGGGGGAACCAATTGTTCCTCAGCAGTCCCCACCCATTGCCGGCTGGTGGGGGTCCTAAGTAATAATAGAAGGGGAACCTATTGTTCCCCCCACAGCCCATTGACAGGTAAATCTTGTGCCTTACCTTATTGGTTACCTGCAAGGCTCAATATATACCTGTCAGAGCACTTTGATTGGTTGGCTTACACTCAAATTGCAGGGCGTGATAATGTTTTGTAAGCCTTTCCAAGCCCTGCAGAGCTCAGTCTGCGTGGATCCCTCACTGGGTGAAGGTGGATTCATTTTTATTGTTGGGATTTTTCCGCTGTGTTTTTTTGTGTCTGGGTCCATTTTTATTTTATTAATTTGACGGGATTTATGGAATTTTATTTGGGTTTTTTTGGTGCTGAAAAACGAAAATTGAAGAAAAAAATAAGACATCTAATGGTAAGTATTAATGTTTTATTTTACAGGTATTTTGATTATTGCCCCCCTCACTATTATTAGGTTGAGAGGCTAGGTAGGGTATTTATTTATTGGGACGGTGACAAGGGACTTGCTCTGATAATAACGGGGGGGGGGGACCTATTGTCTCTCCCTGCCGCTAATGGGTGAGGGCTGGTGGGGAGAGACAATAGGTCCGCCCCTGTTATTACTTAAGGGCCCCACCCGCCGTAATAGGTGCGGGCTTGGGGGTGTATAAAAGGTTCCCCCGCCCCATTATTACTAAGGGCTCGTACCTGCCACTGATTGGTGGGGGTGGTGGGGGACAGTAGGTTCCCCCTTATTATTACATAGGGCCCTCACCCGCCGGCAATGGGTAGGGGTTAGCGGAACAATAGGTTCCCCCCAATTATTACTTAGGGCCCACATCCACTGGCAATGGGTAGGGGCTGGGTTGGAACAATAGTTCCCCCTATTTTTTACTTAGGGCCCCCACCTGCTAGGAGGGACATTAGGTCCCCCATTTAGTTTAATATCCTCAACACGTGGGGCACAGGTGGGGACTGGAGGGGGACACTATGTTCCCCCCTTATTGATTATTTAAATTTTTGCCACACCTTGGGGGTGTGATGCTCCTTTATTGAATTTGGAGGGGTCTTTTTATTTCATTTTACATGCCCCTAAACGCTGCATAGCAAGTAGGAGCAGAAGAGAGGTTATAACCTCCCTTATTTACTAATATTAAGTTTTTTTTTACTTACTATTAGTAAAGTTGGCTGAAAGACCAATTTTTGGTCCAGGTAAATGGGGTGGTTATCCTAAATCCCTGTAAAGGACGTTGTGGCCAGGAGCCCCGATCATAAGCTGGCATGAAGTACTTCAGATAGCACGGTGAAGCAAAAACTCCCATTGCCATAGATAGAGCTGGTCGAAAGCTTGTATAATCGGATCCACTAAAGAGTATCGCAGAGTAGTGATAGGCTGAGAAGTAGGCCCCAGGAAGACGGCCATCTTGAAAGAAGAGGCTTTGTGTGGAAAGTAAATGTGGTCAGCAAGAGTCCCTCAGATAAGGCAGAATAAGCACCCCAGCGGGGTCTGGGATAACCCAGCCGATCTGTGGGAAATCATTGCCCAGGTAAAAACTAGAACATGTTCAGGGTGGAGGATTGGCCATGTCTTAAACCACAGAAATGTCCGCTGACCTCAAACAGCATAAGCTCTGGAAACACCCTGAGAAAGATTAAATCCTAAAATAACGGCACAGTATTCCCCAAGCAAGTAGAGCCAGATGACAGCTGAAAATACTGTTATCTTGATTTACATGCTTGGATGCAACTGTTCCCCGAGGAGCTCCTGTTACTTGGGACTTGCTCAGCCAGCACTCAGGCCCCGTCCCCTAGACTGCAGTTATTTGTAAACACCTCATAGTCTGGTAGCTTGGTCGGCCTCCGATACTGCAGTGCACTAGGAAATGTTCTGGAGGACCAGGCCTGGAAACCACTGTGATTGCAGGCTGCAGGCCCACGTACAAATCTACACAGTGTTAATCTAGGAAAGACTCTGCAAAATACTTCCCAGTGCAACACTCCTGCAGTAATATGCCAACAGGCAACCCAATGCACATTCTATTATTTTAGTAGAAGAATATTGAGGTTGCAGCCTATATCTCCACTGCCAGCCTTCTTATGCTGGTTTCCCAGGGGCCAATCACCCCTTTGCTCCCTTTCCAGCCCCCCCAAATCCCATATTCTCTAGACAACATAACAACTACACCAAGCTGCAGTGAATATGTTTTAGAGTGCTTCCTTTATGTAAATACTAAGACATGTATGTTTTTACCTGGTGAAGAGCCTTACCTGGTTTTGTATGTTGAATTGAATTGTATGAGGGATGAGTTAGTGCTGTGCTGAATTGCAGTTGCATATGAACACTATTGTCTTTTTCCAATACAGCTTTTTTATTTTCGTTTTCCAAAATTAAAATGAACAACTAGATTGTTTGGTTCCCTATATGTTATATTATTATTATTGCCATTTATATAGCGCCAACAGATTCCGTAGCGCTTTACAATATTATGAGAGGGGGATTTAATTATAAATAGGACTATTACAAAAAACTTATGGGAACAATAGATTGAAGAGGACCCTGCTCAATCTAGCTTACATTCTATAGGAGGTGGGGTGTAAAACACATTAGGACAGGATCTTGGGTATCTTCCTGGAGTTAGCAAACTCCACCTGACATCACTTTCAACGTCAGCAACTTTAACTTCCATTAACTATATTTGTTTCCTTTAATCTGTCTTGTTAAATGCTTGTGGCTTTTCCTCCTGTTGTATGCCCTTCTTTATTCTCTCTGAAACATCTGCTATCAGTTCAACTACTTTTCCTTTTTACTCCACTAACCATGCACTCTTTATAACGCTGCCTTAATAAAAATGTTTTGTGAAAATATTATAAATCTGTCCATCACTTGCTTAATATTCAACATATTTGTTGAAACTAATCCAGAGCTATAACTGTTATGTAATTCTTCGGAAGCCCCCTGGAGTTTGGGTGGAGAAGTGGTCTCTCAGTTTAGTCTGATTTCCTTTCAGAATTGAAACTTAGCTAGAATCGACTTTATACTCATTGGCCTTGGATGTTCAAAACAAACAGAGAGTTATCCTGTGCAGTTAGACAATTCCTGTATAATATTAGTAGCAAACCATTAGCAATCCATTAGCTAAAAAAATAAAATAAAGATGAACTTCCTTTGAAGTTTCTGCATTGGGTGCAAATCTCTAAGACTTGCGGCTTCTGCATTTAAAGGGGCACGCCACTGCCCAAATGTAAAAAAATAAAAATAAATCAATGTTATTTAGATATACCCCCAATAAAACAATGCATTCAATTATTTATCCATTTTTTTACTTGGAGATATATCTAAAAACAGCTTGCAAAAGCTGCAGATCTCTTGTCTGAAACCTGAAGTCCTCCCCTTCTAACTCCTCCCAGACTTTATGTGGCTGTCCAATCACAGACTTCCCAATATAGCTCAATGAGAAGTCTTTGCAAGGCAGGTGATGCATACAATTTCTGCCTCACTCGAACCGGTGGTCTGACAGCCAGAGGGGAGTCGCGAGGTTATTGTATAAAAGAGCAATTTTTTTTAGAAATCTGAATTTTTGGGTAGAATTAAAAAAGGGACAAAAAAGCACTTTAATCAGTTGAAATCGTTTAGGGGTGGGTCTGAAGTTTCCCTTTAATACTGCTCAAATCAGAATGACTCAGCTTTTTCAACATGCTCAACAGCATATCCCATAAACTGCCTATAAAGAGGTTATATGACATGTAGATCAGTTGTTAGCAATTAGAGATAAGCACAGAAAGAATTGCAGTTTCGGTTCATTCATTCATCCTGAATTTTTCCCCCCATTTTGAATAATCCATATTTGTTCACATATCTATTCAGTTCTTCTGGAATTCTGTAAATATTTTAATCTATATAACGAATATTGTTCAACCATAATCCTGTTTGTAAAAAAATCTTTAAAAAAAAATCACATTTAAACAAAATAATTTTTTTTATGTTCTGTTCATCGTTAATTAACATAATAAGTTAGCTTACTCATCTTAAATATGTAGTCATTGTCATTGTATATCTCATCGATTTATTGATTATTATCTTTTGTTAAGTAAAAAAACATAAATAAAAAAACGTGAGCCTAGAGAATGGCAGTGATACACATACACAATGTGTGTATTACATACTCATGCCGTAACGTTCTTAATCTTGCAGAGAGGAGAGAGAGAGTCTGAGCTGGTATTTTAAGAATAGCAGCAGGAGGACTGGGCTCTTTAGCCGTGAGCTGAGGAAAAAGCACTGGGGTAAGAAGACCTTCTAAGGTGGACAGCAGCAGAAGACTTTGACTCTTGAGACATGAACCTGAGGAAAAGCTGGAGGTCACAATCCTACAGTGGGGATATTCACTCAGAACACCAGCAGAAGCAGACTTTGGATGAGAGCTCAGGAAAAGGGTGGCAGTCACACCACTAAAAGGGTTCACTCAGAACAGCTGCAGAAGACTTTGGACATGAGTACAGGTAAAGGTGGCAGTCACAACCATGAAAGGGATTCACTTTGATCAGCAGCAGAAGACTTTGGACATAAGTACAGGCCAAGATGGCATAAAGGAAGATATTCACTCAAAACAGCAGCAGCAGACTTTGGCCCAGGGTTGGACTGGCCTACTGGGAAACCAGGAAATTTCCCAGGGGGCTCCTGTAGCTGGGGCTGCTGCCAGGGTAAACCTTGTTTTTTTCCCTAAACGTGTTGAGGAGCTGCGAGTAGCAGCAGCGCATGGTTTTTCCTCAAAACAAACAGACATGTAGGTTGCCAAGATATCATGTGAAGTCATGTCCTGGTGGCTGACACTGTATGCAGGAGAAACCTAGTGACATTTCGGACCCCAGCTCCAGAGCTGGAGATGGCCCAAGAAGTCACTGGGCAGCAGCAGGTATGTGAAAATAAATAATGGGACTATGCAGAGAGAGAATCTGTAATTTGTTTGTGCCAGTGAACAATATTAGTGTCAGAGGGTCTCAAGATGGATCAGGTTAAGCCTTCCCCCAAATCCTCTAGTGGCTGTCTCATTGACAGCCGCTAGAGGCGCTTGCGTGATTCTCACTGTGAAAATCACAGTGAGAGCACGCAAGCGTCCATAGGAAAGCATTGATAATGCTTTACTATGCGACCAGCTGAATGCGCGCGCAGCTGCTGCCGCACATGCGCATTCAGCCAACGGGGAGGAACGGAGGAGGATCGGAGGGGAAGAGCTCCCCGCCCAGCGCTGGAAAAAGGTAAGTTTTTACCCATTTCCCCCTTCCAGAGCCGGGCTGGAGGGGGACCCTGAGGGTGGGGGCACCCTCAGGGCACTATAGTGCCAGGAAAACGAGTATGTTTTCCTGGCACTATAGTGGTCCTTTAAGAACCCCCAACATTAGCAACATTGTATCTTCCCTGATCCATCCCCCAATCTTTGGCAGCAGTCATGTTCCCCCTTCCTAATTGTTCCAGGGGGAATCTTGACTGCTGACCCAACCAGTCCCAACCAACAACCTGTTGCCCCTCATTAATACACGTGACACCTCATTCTTGTGGATTAGTAACTTAGTCCAAATCTGCCAGCTGTTGGGTGTTTGCCCAACAGGCAGTTCTCACGCACATTCGGTACCATGAGCCTCGACATAAAGCTCCTCGCCATCAGCTCTGTGCCGGCTGTCGTCTCCCCAATGTTCCTTTCTTCCTCTGCGCTGTCCAGGGAAACCGCCACCATGATGCCCCTCCTCGCGCACTACACTGCGTGGGCATCGCGCCCCCCTGCCGACAGCGCCTCCTCAATTCCTGCTTGCAGGCCCATGATAAAGATGTCCAACCCAATGGGGGACAGGTGCACACCATCTCGCTTCATTAGTGCATCATTGTCCCTTTCCAACTCAATGTGCCTTACTACTATACCACCCAGGTGGCACACGAACTGGGACATGGTCATATTGACCTTCCGCCTATAGCGCTCTCGGGCCTTACCCTTTCCCTCGGTTCGCCAAACCGGGCGAGGCACAATCTCGACCAGACGAGGGTCAGGTCCTCGAACAACGCGACACAGCGGGCCACCTCATGCGCATTGTGCACCAGATCCACTGACCGTCGTCGTCCAACATCTTTCCCGCCCACGTGAATCACCAGGGTCACCGGCCCTGACACGTGGCGCCTGAGCTGAATCAGCGCAGCATATAACCAGTCCCAGGACAGTCCCCGGATACCCTTCCAACGTACCCTTGCTATCTAGTATGGGAAACCGAGGATCCGGCCATAGGGTCTACTCTCGGCCTATTATTATTTTTGTTCTGCCATCTTTCTTTTGAGGACATTAGAGGGAACCTCATATTTATAGGTTGCAGCTTTCTATTTATTTTCAGCTCACATTAGAACATACAGCGCTGATCCTTTAGCTACCTTTGTCTACTCTCGGCCCGTCTAGCTGCCCAATACACAAAGGAGTGTTCGATTATCCAAATAAAACGCGGGGAAGAACCTAGAACTAAACAACAAAAAACATAACTGTGCCGCTGGCCTAAAGCAAGTGCTGGAACCGCCCTGACTGCCATCACCCCAACCGCTTGAGAGCCTCTGATGGAAGACCCAGCATACTCGTCTGAGTAGCCGCCCCAATCCTGAAGGAGTGCATAGTATAACGTCCGGGAGACAATCCAATACTTATCACCCCAGCCCGAAGCACTCTGGTGAATTGAAATCGGCTGAGTGATGACCCATCCCAATGCCTTAACAGCGACCCTGCTGCCAACCCACGTTACCTCCAAGAACTCCCGCAGCAACCTGACCGGCAGAACTGCTGATCAGTAGCCTTAATCCGAACCGAGGCGCCCACCCCCATCTGATCCGTCTTTGACCTCCGGATGAACAACGCGACGTCCCCCATAGAAACCTTGATATACGCCATTTTCATGGCGGCCGGCGCCCGCATACTTGGGGCCACCAACTCGCCGACCCTTGGACAGCAAAGAAGCAAACGGCAAACGCGGCCCGAAACAGGAGCACCTTGTAGTTCAACACGCAGATCTGCGGTAGCCGCTCCAATAGTTTGCACAGGATCTCATAGGAGATGGGACGCCGAGCGTCCGGCCTGCGATATCTCTTCCATCCCTTTATGACCCGTGCGACGCAGAACGCCTTGGTAGCATCCTTCCACCCACACCACTGGAACAGGAACGACAAGGCCGATAATGTTCTCTCGGCCGCCGCTGCCGACTTACCCTCTTCGCACAGCAACTCCATCAAAGCCAGCGTAGCCGACAACCTACCTTCCTCCGAGGACACTTCCCTACCACTGCAGACATCCGTCCATCTCCGCCATACTGCAGAATACGATCTCCACGTGGACGCAGCCAGTGACCCCTTCACCAATCGGCTCAGATTATGGAAACCAGGTCCCAGACGCCCGCCCGGCACGAGGTTTCAGTCCGGGCCGCCTCTGAAGCCGCCTCTCAAAATCGGTCCCACTGAAACCGAGAGAGAGAGTCGGCTATAACGTTCCGCTCCCCTGTCACGTGCTGCGCAACCAACCACAAATTCCACTCTAAGCTAAGCAAGACTAAGCGCCTCAGAAGCGACAAAACCGGAGGGGATGAAGACGAAGACTGGTTGATCACATGGACAACGCTCATGTTGTCCATGTGCACCACCACCACTTTCCGGTTTGCTAGCTCTGAACCCCATAGTTCCACCGCCACGACAATGTGAAAGAGCTCCAGGAACGTTAAGTTACCTCCCAATTCGGTCTCCAGCCAGTGGCGGGGCTAGGCCTCCGCGCACCATCATCCTTGAAAGTAGGCCCCAAAGCCCACTGCCCCGGACGTGTCGGTGTACAACTCCAAATCCATATTGGACACCGCCGGGCGAGCCAGCAAGATTGCCTATTGTACCTACCCAAGAATGAGCTCCAAACTTACAGATCCTCTCGATGTCTGTGGATGATCCGAATGAAGTGAAACGTCTGTTTGACTCCGACAGTCGCTAATGAAAGGCGCCGGCAAAAACCCTGCCCATCGGTAGCACCCAACAGGCAAAGTTCAGATGCCCTAGCAATGCCTGTAACTGCCGGAGCTGTACCTTTTTTGCTCCTTTTACCGAATCCACCAGACATAGCAGGTGAGTCAGTTTCTCATCCGGCAACCGGAAAACCATACTCCGCAAACAAGAAATCATCTAAATAGTGAGTTAGCGACGCTAACCCGGAAACCCGAGCAACCACCCATTCCAAAAAGGACGCGAACATTTCAAAATAAGAACAGGAGATAGCGCAGCCCATTGGCAAACACATATCAAAG